ACTGAACACTGTTCACTGCCTATTGAACAGTGTACACTGCATACTAAATACTGTATACTAAATACTGCATACTGAACACTGTTCACTGCCTATTGAACAGTGTACACTGCATACTAAATACTGTATACTAAATACTGCATACTGAACACTGTTCACTGCCTATTGAACAGTGTACACTGCATACTAAATACTGTATACTAAATACTGCATACTGAACACTGTTCACTGCCTATTGAACAGTGTACACTGCATACTAAATACTGTATACTAAATACTGCATACTGAACACTGTTCACTGCCTATTGAACAGTGTACACTGCATACTAAATACTGTATACTAAATACTGCATACTGAACACTGTTCACTGCCTATTGAACAGTGTACACTGCATACTAAATACTGTATACTAAATACTGCATACTGAACACTGTTCACTGCCTATTGAACAGTGTACACTGCATACTCAATACTGCATACTGAACACTGCATACTGTATACTAAATGCTGCATACTGAACACTGTTCACTGCCTATTGAACAGTGTACACTGCATACTAAATACTGCATACTGAACACTGCACTGCATACTGTGTACTAAATACTACCTATTGAACCGTGTACACTGCATACTAAATACTGAACACTGTTCACTGCCTATTGAACAGTGTACACGGCATACTCAATACTGAACACTGTTCACTGCCTATTGAACAGTGTACACTGCATACTCAATACTGCATACTGAACACTGCATACTGTATACTAAATGCTGCATACTGAACACTGTTCACTGCCTATTGAACAGTGTACACTGCATACTAAATAGTGCATATTGTACACTGTATACAGTCTGTTGAACCCCGTAAACTGTTTATTAAACACTGCATACATACATACTGCCTACTGCTTGTTGTATGTTGAATACTGCGTACTGACTCGTGCTCAGTGTACACTGAACATTGTACACTTCATTCTGCCTACTGCTGAGTATATACTATGACTAATATACACTACTGAACACTACATAGGCATGAGAGCAGTACACTACATCCGCTGTACACTGACTATTTAACACTACTGCATATTGAACAATGTATTCTGCTGAATAGTGTGCATTGCATACTGTCTGCTACTAAGTACAACATACTGCTTACTGAACATCTATATGAAATGTATTTTAGTACACGTCAGCTTCATGTAGATTCCTCTCTCTCACAAACACAAAGCGCATGTTTATCTGTGAAGCAGGAAGCAGCGTGTGTTTATCTGGATCAGCACTTCCTGTTTGAGCGTCTATAGAGGACAGACCTGCTGATCCGGTTGAACCGGTTGGGTGTCAGAATCACACTGAGCGCTTGGTTCTAAACGGCGGTGACCTCTGACCTTCACTCTGCGGCCGTCGATGCGGAGCGTGCGCACGGTGAAGTCCACGCCGATGGTGTTCTGCTGCGCCTCGGAGAACAGGCCGCTCTTGAAGCTCTGCACCAGGCTGGTCTTGCCCACGTTGGAGTCCCCGATGAGGATGATCTTGAAGAGGAAGTCGAAGGAGTCGTCCCGAGGATCCTCTGGCTCCATGAGTCCGCTCTGCTCTGCTCTGCTCTGCTCTGCTGCTCTCTGTGCGCTCGCTCCTTCCTCCTCTACCTGGACAAACAGGTGAAACCGCCACCTGCACAGCTGCATTGTGGGTAATGTAGTGCAGCAGCTCAACTACAAGCACACACAACATGACATTAACATCCGCTGCCGTGAAAACTAAGCTACACTGCAGATGATGTTTAGTGGGCTCCGGCTTCACAGAATGTTGATCATTAACCTCAAAGCCAATATTATATGAGCTACGAGGATTGCAACACGCTATGAAACAAAATTATTTTATTAGCAAGAATCACTGGAAAAACTCACAACCAAATATTATAGTTCAGGTTAGTTTGGGACCAAATGTTGGTTACTGATAACTTATATTTCCCCATGAATTTAGATTTAGATTTATGTTTTATTATATATATATTTAAAACTTTCACTGCAGATGATGTTTAGTGGGCTCCGGCTTCACAGAATGTTGATCATTAACCTCAAAGCCAATATTATATGAGCTACGAGGATTGCAACACGCTATGAAACAAAATTATTTTATTAGCAAGAATCACTGAAAAAACTCACAACCAAATATTATAGTTCAGGTTAGTTTGGGACCAAATGTTGGTTACTGATAACTTATATTTCCCCATGAATTTAGATTTAGATTTATGTTTTATTATATATATATTTAAAACTTTCACTCTGATAATAATATAGGCAACAGGATTGAATGGTTGCGCTTAACGTGTGCAAATTAGAAAAAAATGTAATGAAAATGTTTAAATTATTCAAATATGGTAAATATTCAGCTACTATAAAAATAGTTTGGGTCCAAATGATGACACTGATGTTTGGTTTTAATATGTGTAAAGTTCCGCAATTTAACAAACTAATATCATGAGTATGTTTATTTAGTTATTATTAGCTTAGCGGGATGTTATTCTGTATTACTCGTTTAATTCGTGTTTATCGCGCACTGCAGGGACTCTTAAGTTGAAGAGTGTTCGTGCGGAAACGCGTCACAGGAAGCGGTCGGGCTCTCTCTAGTCCGTTCTTCCGGCAGCGTGCTCGTCTCTTCAGCGCATCGTGTGATCATCATGGTGAGTGCTGAAGTGTTTGGCTCGTGTTTTAGTGAGCGTGTAATGAGCGAGAGACGCGTGTGTGTGTGTGTGTGTGTCTCTGAAGCGAGATCCGCGCTGTGTTCCGGCGGAGAGCCAGGCTTTGTGCGCCTCAGCAATGCGCTTCCAGTGTGTTCTGAGGAGGCCCGAGTCATTAACATTATAAACTCATTACTACTGCTGGTGTGCTTTGAATATGATGTTTAGTTAGTATATCATGACACAGATAAGTATTCACGTGATGGTAGGATTAGTGAGATAATAATCTAATATCATTATTAATATTGCACTACTGTATTGTCAGATCTCAGTCTCATATGTTTCTCCAGAGATGAACAATGTAATGATACATGCCTGCTCTACAAGCTAGTGCTGTGTTGCTGCATACTACAGTTTCCTGAGTCCTCAGCTGTTTATCACACATGTGTAATGCATGCTCAATAAGCTGATTGAGACTGTGTGCTGTGCTGCTGCTGCAGGCGTCTCTATCGATGGCCCCGGTCAGCATCTTCAGTCACGGAGCGGATGAGGAGAAGGCCGAGACGGCGCGTCTGGTGAGTGATGCTCGCCCTCTAGAGCTGCTGCATGACCCTCCTCCGTCTGACTGTGTGTCTCTGTGTGTCGCAGTCGTCCTTCATCGGAGCCATCGCCATCGGGGATCTGGTGAAGAGCACTCTGGGGCCCAAGGGCATGGTACGACTCGCTCGCACGCACCGCTCACACACGCTCCTCACCCTGACCCTGACCTCTGACCTCTGACCTCACAGGACAAGATCCTGCTGGGCGGCGGCCGGGACAGCAGCGTGACCGTCACCAACGACGGAGCCACCATCCTGAAGGCCATCGGCGTCGACAACCCCGCCGCCAAAGTGCTCGTGGGTCAGTTCCCGTCGCAGGACCGCGGAGGCGCTCGTATACCAGCGTTATAAATGCCTTCGCTAGCTGCGAGTCTTGACTTGTGTGCGGAATTGTAACGTCGCGTAACACATTTGCGAACAAACCATTTAAAAGGCATGATTTCAGTTAAAGGGGAAAAGCGTTCGTCTTCTCTCCTGAGGCCACAAGAGGGCGCATCGAGCAAACCATCACTGATGCACGTTTATTCAAAGCAATAAAATACCACGACTCCCTTTAAGAAAAGTACATAATGTTAAAAATAGTGTTTATAAACCATATGTACTTAGGTTGCTTAAACAATTAGAAACAAAACCGCGTCGTGCATGCATCTATAGTTTAATACAAAGAGCCGAAAACCAGTCACAAAGAGTACGTTTCCATCTAAAAACACGAGATGCAGTGGGATGCGGAAAAGCCGCCATAAAGTTTTGAGACGCGTTTTTGTAAAAGTTGAGCTTTACACGGCTTTCTGAACATGCGGCTCTCTTGTGCGAGGCGCGAGTGCAGCGCTGATAGATGTCCCTCTAGAAAATGTGATAAGTGTGTGTTCTGTGTGAACAAGATCTTCTCCGCATTGTTCTCTTTTTCCTGCAGTATATTGAATGAACAGCGCAGCAGCGCCGCATCTGGTGGCTTCAGCTGGATAGAATAAGAAAGACACTTGGGAGCTGCTGCGGGTACGAGCTCTTCCTCCTCCTCGCAGCGTCTGAGTGAGTCGTGAGCCGTGTCTAATGTGTGACGCTTGTGCCGCAGGAAGCAGAGCTGCTGATCGCCAAGAAGATCCATCCTCAGATCATCATCTCCGGCTGGAGGAAGGCCACGCAGGCGGCGCGCGATGCGCTCAGGGAGGCGGCGGTGGATCATGGGTAATGAGCGAAGCTGCTCTCTCTGTGTGTGTGTGTGTGTGTGTGTGTGTGAGTGTGAGAGAGGAAATTCAGGCCCTGAATAAATGTCTAAAAATCCTGATTGGAGCATCACTATAAACGGTTACAAATGATAAAAAAGGCTTTAAAAGATGGGTTTGGTATCGGCAGATACTGCTGTCTGAGATCGGCCTCACAAACCCTGATCAGAGCACCCCTAGACACAAGTCAAATGAAATAATTAGCAATTATATATGCAAAACTGGGTATTTAATTGTTTTTAATGATGCCGACGGTACTGATTGTTGTTCCTGTAATAATTATTACTTTTAGTAGTAGCAGTCCTGTAATATAATAATAATTATAAAAATAAATTATAATTATTTTATTATTACAATATTAAATTTTGAATTAAAAGATTATCAATTCGTTTTTTTGTTAGGCTTTCGTTTTTAAAAAAAAGTTTTATTATTATTGTTTTATTTAGACGAAATAGTAAAACAATGTTCATCTGATCTGTATTGGCCAGAATTGTAATATTTTGATAAATAAGGGTGTTTTAATCTTTAATCTTTAATTATGATTCAGCTCACTGAATATAAATATCTAATTATTATTATTATAATAAGATTAGTATTTATTATTCTATATATATTTTGTTAATATTACATTATATCTAATAATAATGTCTAAAGTATCAGAAACTGACACTGAAAACGAGCATGTAGTTTTTCAGATTGATTAGCAGTGTGTGGATGAGTCCGTCAGTGATGCTAGCGAACGTTAGCGCTCACGCGTGTGTCTGTCTCTTCCTGCTCCTCACAGGCTTCCTGCTGGACAAGAGGATCGGCGTCAACCAGCCCAAGAGGATCGAGAACGCCAACATCCTGATCGCCAACACCGGCATGGACACGGACAAGATCAAGGTACGGCGGGCTCTGAGCGCGAGCGCAGGCGTGACTAGCGCGAGTAAGCTAACGCTAGCGTGTGTCTCCGCAGATCTTCGGCTCCAGAGTGCGTGTGGACTCCACCGCTAAAGTGGCCGAGATCGAGACGGCCGAGAAGGAGAAGATGAAGGAGAAGGTGGAGCGCATCCTCAAGCACGGCATCAACTGCTTCATCAACAGGTGCGCTCGTGTCATGTGTGTGTGCGCGTGCGTGGTCATGTGACGTGCGTGCGGTCATGTGACGTGTGTGACGTGCGTGAGGTCATGTGACGTGTGTGGTCGTGTGACGTGCGTGCGGTCATGTGACGTGTGTGTGCACGTGTGCGCGTGTGTGGTCGTGTGACGCGTGCGTGCAGGGTCATGTGACACATGTGCGGGGGTCATGTGACGTGTGCGTGTGTGTGCATGGTCATGTGACGCGTGTGCGGGGGTCATGTGACGCGTGTGTGGTCATGTGACGTGTGCGTGTGTGTGCATGGTCGTGTGTGCGTGTGTGGTCATGTGTCCTCAAGCACGGCATCAACTGCTTCATCAACAGGTGCGCTCGTGTCATGTGTGTGTGCGCGTGCGTGGTCATGTGACGTGCGTGCGGTCATGTGACGTGTGTGACGTGCGTGAGGTCATGTGACGTGTGTGGTCGTGTGACGTGCGTGCGGTCATGTGACGTGTGTGTGCACGTGTGCGCGTGTGTGGTCGTGTGACGCGTGCGTGCAGGGTCATGTGACACATGTGCGGGGGTCATGTGACGTGTGCGTGTGTGTGCATGGTCATGTGACGCGTGTGCGGGGGTCATGTGACGCGTGTGTGGTCATGTGACGTGTGCGTGTGTGTGCATGGTCGTGTGTGCGTGTGTGGTCATGTGACGTGTGTTCTTCCTCAGGCAGCTGATCTATAACTACCCAGAGCAGCTGTTTGCGTCCGCTGGGGTGATGGCCATCGAGCACGCTGATTTCGTGGGAGTCGAGCGCTTGGCTCTCGTCACAGGTACACAAACACTGCACACTCTGAGAGCTGTTTCCCAGCATGCTCTGCTGTTACCTCCTTCATCAGCTGTGTGTGACTTCACATTAAGCCTTGGCATGGCCTTGAATCAGTCCTTCGCTTGTCTGAGTAAAGAAACCTTGCTGTGTAAATGTGATTTATTCTGAAGCATGTATTCTCATCAGAGCTCTTAATTAAATGAGTGTATATGTGATATTTGCCCCTTTAAGTTGATTTGCAAGACATCTTTGCCTATATAAAGGGCAGTTTTTCCCTAACCTTATTAAAAACATACATTGTCTTTCATATTAAAGTTAAGTTAAAATAAGACGCTATACATCTGTTAACAATTCAATTCAAATCGATCTTTCCACTGCAGAAGCAGCTGAAGCAGCATTTCGATGCATTTACACTACAAAATTACAAGTGCATAAATAATGTCATGGGCTTAGTGGTTTTTTAAATATACAAATAATATGAAATGTTGGGGGAAAGATGCAATGATAGGCTACTTTTAAATATGAAAGTAAACGGCCAGTAGATGTGTTAATGAAGGGAGCACTGAATCACTGACTCAAACGTGAATCATTCAGTGAGGAAACACTGCTGTGTGTTGCTCAGATGCAGCTGTGAAGATTTTTTTTTTGAACCGTTTCAAATCAGTGTCAAATTTGCAATCGTACCGAAAACGGCACTCTAGTTCGTGTCATGTTGCTTAACTAGTCCATAACATGTTATAAATATAAAAACGACCTTTTTACGGCAGTATGTCTCTTCTGTGTGCCGTGGTGTCACTCGCACACAGCCAGGGACTCAAACGTGAATCATTCAGTGAGGAAACACTGCTGTGTGTTGCTCAGATGCAGCTGTGAAGATTTTTTTTTTTGAACAGTTTCAAATCAGTGTCAAATTTGCAATCGTACCGAAAACGGCACTCTAGTTCGTGTCATGTTGCTTAACTAGTCCATAACATGTTATAAATATAAAAACGACCTTTTTACGGCAGTATGTCTCTTCTGTGTGCCGTGGTGTCACTCGCACACAGCCAGGCTGCACGACGTTATACAACGTTATCTGTTATCAGGTGCCGTTTACACCAAATATAACACGATCAGAGTCGTTCCCACCAAAGTTTCAGTGCTGCTTTAGGTAGATTTTTAGATTAGGCTAGTTGTCCTGAAGTGAAATTCTCCTTCACTTGAGCACTTCAGGAAATCCACTTGTCCCCGACTGACAAAAGCTCTCGGAATTGAGTTTCAAAATAAGAACTATGGTGTAAACATGCAGCAGAAACGTGTGTGTGTGTGTGTGTGTGTGTGGCTCAGGCGGAGAGATCTCCTCGACCTTTGAGCACCCTGAGCTGGTGAAGCTGGGCCGCTGTAAGCTGATCGAGGAGGTGATGATCGGAGAGGACACGCTCATACACTTCTCTGGAGTGGACATGGGTGAGTGCTGCCCGAACAAACCCGAGGCACTTTGATTCATCTGTTGTTTTAAACATGCTCCAGGTTTTCTCTGCTTGTTTGTAGAGCTGCAGCATTTGACAAAAACTGTTGCGATTTATATCTCAGCATAACTGTATAATAACCTTGTTGATGATAAGAGTAATAATAATAATATTTTATTATTAATTCATATATTTTGTTTATATTTTTTATATTATTATTATTAGCCTAAAAATACAAATATTAAACAAAATAGTATTTAATTTTAGTGCTGTTAAATGATTAATCGCATCCAAAATTAAAGTTTGTTTTATATGTATGTGTACTGTGTATATTTGTGTATATAAATACATACAGAATATATTTTGAAAATATTTACGTTTATACATTTATTTATATGAATATTATATTTTATATTCTATATATAAACATAACCTATTTTTCTTAAATATATACATGCATGTGTGTGTATTTATATATACATAATAAATATACACATTATGTAAACAAACTTTTTTGAAAGCGATTAATTGTTTGACAGCACTATTTAATTTATATATAATTAATTTTTAACTGTAAAATAGCATATTTAAGAATTATATATTTTTCTTTACATTAAAACTAAAATTAATATTATTTCAATTAATATTAATACTATTATAGTTTTTCATAATAGTTTCAATTAGATTGTTTCGCTGTTTTCTCTTTAATTTTAGTTAAAGTTTTCATAATTGTTGATTTTCTTTGTCTTTTTTTATATAAAAGTAGTTAATGTTTAGTTATTAGTTCTTAGAGCTCAACAAAACTAAATGCTGGATTTGCAAGTAGCTGAATTGAGTTCTTTTTTTGGTTTCAGTTGACAATGATTTTAAGTAACACAAATGTTGAATTTTGGGTTAGCAGCAGCAAACCTGGTTTGGCATGTTGCGTTTCTAAATGCATGTGACGAGCAGCGTGTGTCCTGTGAACCGCAGGTGAGGCGTGCACCATCGTCCTGCGCGGGGCGACGCAGCAGATCCTGGACGAGGCCGAGCGCTCGCTGCACGACGCTCTGTGTGTGCTGGCGCAGACCGTCAAAGAGACGCGCACCGTGTTCGGCGGAGGTGAGGAGAGGACTCAAACGCATAATCTACATCAACAGATGAAAACAAGATGAGACGATAACCACATAACTCTTTTTAAATGACAATCTATTGACATTCCATTTTTGGTCCACGAATATACACTATTTTTCCTATTTAAATCTGTAAAGCTGCTTTGACACGATCTGCATGGTTAAAAGCGCTACATTAATAAAGCTGAACAAATGAAAACGAGAAAGATCTCTTGCACACACTTCATCTATAACGGCTTATGATAATTAATCAGCTAAAACTAGACTAAAACAGTTCAGGTGACTAAAAGTCGATGCTATTTTAATCCAAAGACTCTGACTTGAATGAAAGCTTGCTGTGAGAATTCCCACTGGTGTGTGTTTCAGGCTGCTCGGAGATGCTGATGGCTAAAGCCGTGTCTGATCTGGCCAACCGCACGCCAGGAAAAGAGGCTGTGGCCATGGAGTCCTTCGCTAAAGCCCTGAGGATGGTACGTCACACACACCCATACGTCCACTGACACTGTGGACATCAAGAGACAGCATTGCCCCTTCCCTAAGCTGATTTCCAGGGGCACTTTTATCTTTATGAAGGCAGTTGTTTTCTTATTAAATGTGCGTGTCATCTTTTAGGCATTTGCATTGCAATTGCAATTTCATAATGCATAACTAATTGGAGAAGATATGAACTCCCCAATAGTTGTAAGCAGTTAATCATTCATTCAGTGTCTGAAATCACATACTGTCTTGAGTAGGTACTTATTTTGAATGAGTAATTATCTTCACAGCTACTAAAAACGAGGTTAGTAAAGTTATAGTAAAGTGTCCATCATGCCAGATGTGGTAGGTAGGGCCCTATGAAGTCAGTTTTATTTTTTCCCAACTTTTTGTTTCCCCAAAGTTTTTTCCGTTTGAATTTTTCTGGATTCCGGTGTTGTGCTGATATTCGGAAAAAATGCAACTGTTGCTTATGCATACATCATGCGACATAGATGAAAAACAGAATAGATCAAATATACCTGATGCAGGGCTGTTTTGCTGCCGTATCTTGAGTGTTGGCGGCAGTTTAGCTGATGTGTTTTTGAGTGAATACAGATTGATGCAGGTCTCATTATCAGTCGTGTAATTGCACTATATGAGCATCAGAGACCAGCCTCGGGAGTCTGTCTTAAAGACGCAGAGCTGTTTGTGTTGCAGCTGCCCATCATCATCGCTGATAACGCGGGATACGACAGCGCCGAGCTGGTGTCTCAGCTGAGAGCTGCTCACCAGGACAACAAGAGCACCTTCGGCCTGGGTAAGACACACTCACACCAGTGAGTCACATCAGCCCTCCGAGTCTCTGACCTCTGACCCCTGTGCTTTCAGACATGAGCCAGGGCGCGGTGGGAGACATGGCAGCGCTGGGCATCACCGAGAGCTTCCAGGTGAAGCGGCAGGTGCTGCTGAGCGCAGCCGAGGCGGCGGAGATGATCCTGCGCGTCGACAACATCATCAAAGCCGCTCCCAGGTGACTCTTCACGTCACCAGTCTTCCCTGTGGCGTTGTGTTGCGTGTTTTTAACCTGTGTGTGTGTGTGTGTCTGTCTGTCTTTGGGTGCAGTTATTCCTGTCTGAGACAGAGACATGTGACGCTTGTGTCAGTGTGTCATTCTTCAGTCCATTGTGATTGTTGTGTCTGTTGAAGACCTGTCAGTTGTGCATTTTCAAAGTAACAGCACCTCAGTTACCCCTGGGACAGGGATCATTCCCCAGTCACGGTCAAATAACCGCTTGTCTTTCAGTCTCGGTTCATTCAACTCTGTTCTATCAGCGTCCCACTCATTAAAACTGGAAGACTCAGGTGTTACTTTGTTACTCAGCACCAGCTTTGGGGAAGTTGCTTTGAAACTGTAGTTTACAGTTTAAGGTACAAGCTAATCATAAATTCAAACTGCCACAACATAAAAATCACTGACATGTGAAGTGAATAACATTTATTATATTGTAACAATGGTACCTGCGCGTCGACAACATCATCAAAGCCGCTCCCAGGTGACTCTTCACTTCACCAGTCTTCCCTGTGGCGTTTTGTTGCGTGTTTTTAACCTGTGTGTGTGTGTGTGTGTTGTCGTGTGTTTCAGGAAGCGTGTGCCGGATCATCACCCCTGCTGAACACCCAGAGCGGCTCGTGTATTTATTTAGTCTCGTAGCTTCATGTGTGGTCGCACCTCCCAAGCGTCGCTTGTGTCTGAATGTTACAGCTCTGCACGATGACCTCTGATCTTTTGTTTACTCAATAAAACCGTCATGACTGACTGTTGGGTGTGTTTCTCTGATGCCACACTGATTGGGCCATTTTAGTATTAGTTTTCTCAATTTTATGAAACGTTTGTCAGTTAGTTCGTTTATCTTTTTGATTAGAAATAGTTAAAATTAGTGTTTTGTGGGCAGGCATAAAAATAATATGCTGCTTGTAGTTGCTTTGGATGAAAACAAGGCAGCATGACAGTCGTAGAGGAAGAAGCCTGTAATAAAGACACTGAATCTGAGACGCCAAATGATCTCAGGAACAAAACAAAAACATTTTATTAGTATTGTCAGTGTCTTGTTTCCCAGTACAAATATCTACATATTTATCTTGCAAGAAAAATAGCTTAAGATATTGGCTCTCGTTTAAAATGCATCAAAGTTTTCATTTCGAACAAATGACTAATATTTCAGCAGAGCTATTTTCACTTGTGCACACGTGTCGTGCGATCTGATTTCTTAATCTCGCGTCTGTTTGCTGAATGTTAAATCAACACCTGACCTGGTCAAAGTGACCCGAAAGCGCTCTGAATTCAGCAGTCGAAGCTGTGCGTGTGTTTGCTCATGTCAGTCTTGACCTGAGACGGCAGCATGAGGACGAGTCTGGTCCTGCTGGCGTGCGTGGGCTTTGTTCAGAGTCTGGGGAGGTAAGCGTCGTCTCCACGCTCTTTGCTTTGTTTAGTGACAACTGGCTGACTTAACTTCCTGATTTATTACACTAAGCTATAACAAATGCCCATGAAATATTGATTTATGTGATATGTTTTTTTTAATGTGAGAAGGAGAGTAACATAAAATGGAAATTTTTTAACAATGCAGTTTCATGTTTAATTCAATGTCTGTCTTGACATTCCTTTGTAATGGACTGTTACATTTACTGGTGATTTCTGAGCCAAAATAGTTTTCTTTCAGTGTGTGCAAGACACCCAGCACTTACACCGTTTAAAGTCATTAGACACAACTATTAGACCACACAGACTGCAGAAAATAACTTGTTTTTTAGCACAAACTGAACATTCTTAAATCAACATCAAATGTAAAAAGCAACATTATTTGAGATATAATGTTTCAAATGTATCAAAATGAAGGGAGTCAGAAAATCTTAATTTGGAGGGAAAACGTACTTTTCTGACCCTATTGGCCTAAAACTCTGGAGCTAAAACTCGCTTTATTTTTATTCAGTAAACTAAACGTAATTTCACATCTCGACTAAATGTATCTTGATTTAAGAGTGTTTGGAAAACAAAAACATATTTAGGTTGAACATCATCATTCGGGGTTCAGAATGAGCCGTCATTCTCAATATAAGACTAAAATGGCAAAGATCATCATCTCTTTTTCTCTGAGCACAGTGAGAGTATCCAGGCAGGTTTCTAATATAAACATATTTTCCCATCAGGGTACCGTTTGTTTAGAGACTGGTAAAGTCTCGTTTGTCTTCATGCACTTGGATTCCCTTTCAATAACGGTTCTCTTGACATTGCATCAGATTAGCTGACACTGACTGAATCCTGAACGGTGTGACTACACACACAAGTGGCATCTCAGTGCACCCAAATAAGCAGAGAAGCAGAAAAAGAGACGAGTAAACTCATGATTGAAAAGGCAGATTTCAGTGCTGTTAAATGCACTATCACACACGTAGCCATGTGATATGGCTGTATATCAGCATGCTATGATTACCTGTTGCCTCGTGCCTACGGCTGGACTTTAAGCAACAGCCACTGATGGAACGGACATGGCATTCTGCACCTCAAATTAAATTGTGTAGTTATAGGGTCTACTGAACAGACATTTAGAAGTTGATAAAATAAAGCTATGTGTAAACTTGCATTTTTACAACACTATAAGTTGTCAAGTGTGGCTAATTTTGTGAGTTTTTATACTATATGGATATTTTATGTATATTGTGTTTGAGTACTAAACTATCAATCTATCTATCTATATATACACGCAATATACAAGCAAAATTATAAATGCAACACTTTTGTTTTTGCCTCCATTTGTCATGATCTGAACTCAAAGATCTAAGACTTTTTCTATGTACACAAAAGGCCTATTTCTCTCAAATATTGTTCACAAATCTGTCTAAATCTGTGTTAGTGAGCACTTCTCCTTTGCCGAGATAATCCATCCACCTCACAGGTGTGGCATATCAAGATGCTGATTAGACAGCATGATTATTGCACAGGTGTGTATATCAGCATGCTATGATTACCTGTTGCCTCGTGCCTACGGCTGGACTTTAAGCAACAGCCACTGATGGAACGGACATGGCATTCTGCACCTCAAATTAAATTGTGTAGTTATAGGGACTACTGAACAGACATTTAGAAGTTGATATTAAAATAAAGCTATGTAAACACTTGCATTTTTACAACACTATAAGTTGTCAAGTGTGGCTAATTTTGTGAGTTTTTATACTATATGGATATTTTATGTATATTGTGTTTGAGTACTAAACTATCAATCTATCTATCTATATATACACGCAATATACAAGCAAAATTATAAATGCAACACTTTTGTTTTTGCCTCCATTTGTCATGATCTGAACTCAAAGATCTAAGACTTTTTCTATGTACACAAAAGGCCTATTTCTCTCAAATATTGTTCACAAATCTGTCTAAATCTGTGTTAGTGAGCACTTCTCCTTTGCCGAGATAATCCATCCACCTCACAGGTGTGGCATATCAAGATGCTGATTAGACAGCATGATTATTGCACAGGTGTGCCTTAGGCTGGCCACAATAAAAGGCCACTCTAAAATGTGCAGTTTCACATACACATACATTCAAAATGCCATCAATAAAATGTACCTGTGTTCGTTGTCCATAACATATGCCTGCCCATACCATAACCCCACCGCCACCATGGGCCACTCGATCCACAACGTTGACATCAGCAAACCGCTCACCCACACTTGTCTGTCATCTGCCCTGTACAGTGAAAACCGGGATT